GGCTGCATGCAAGCAGTTGGAGGATCCGTACTAATAGAATCCAATTGGAATTACTTTATGTGGCACGCTTAATTACACCATACATGTGAGTGGAATACTGGAATTGTTAATACATTTTTACAAAATCGATGTTTATGTCACTTGCTAGAGTTGGTTTACATGGTTACAAATATAGGTGAAGTGTGGCACTGGCTTGCTATTCAGGGAATTTGGGAAGTTGTAAAAAAGAGATGGCCAACAAACAGCCAATATTAACAACATGTACTGCACCTTTAAAAAAAAAAAAAAAAAAAAAAAAAAAATACCCTGCAAGGTAATGAAGAAATTAACTTAAAACAAAGACCTCCAGTGGCCACGGCAGAGAGCTCTAAAGAAACATCACGGGTATGTAGTTCATTCAGAGCGCGTGCTCCAGCTCTCAATATGAGCAAATATCACCTAAGCTGTGCACATTTATAATGGAACTTACCTGTAGGAAAGGGGGGAAGAAGAGTTTACTCCAGCTTTAAGCAGAACTTCACTCTTTCAATAAACCTTGAATATTTTGCATCCTTATGCTGCTAGCACTAGTAAAATAGATAGGAAAGTACATCATACATACTCGTTTTTAAACTCGTTTTTTTTGTTTATATTTCTTTAGTCACTTCCTAGTTTCCATGCCTAGGCAAATGATGTGATACTTCCTAGGAGTCTTCAGGATGGGAGAAGGGTTTTTTTCCAAATAATAAACACACCCTCCTGCCTGCACCTGAGCTAAGGGCAGATGGGTTCCATGAAGTAAATGCTATATGAATTATCTGCCCTGCCTCAAGATGGCCACAGACAGAAATGCTAAGGAATGTTTTTCAGAGCGATTTCTTAGCAGAATAAAGCATGGAGACAAGGATGGATGGAGGAGTTTGCTTTGAATATTAAAAATGAATAGCGCTCTTGGATTGTGGTGGTCAGATGCAGTGTAGTTTAATGTATTTGATGATGTTATAAAAAGAAAGTATATGCTGTGTCCACTAAGAATATGCATGCATCATACATACTAGGGGGAGTACAACTGGGGGAATCAATGGTGGAGAAGGATCTGGGAGTTCTGGTAGATCACAAGCTTAATAATGGCATGCAATGCCAAGATGAAGTTTATAAACGCAAGCAAAATCCTCTCTTGTATTAAAAGAGGTATAGACTCCAGGGAGAGATATATTACACCTGTACAAATCATTAGTAAGACCTCATCTGGAATATGCAGTTCAGTTTTGGGCACAAATTCAAAAAAAGAACATTGGGGAACTGGAGAAAGTACAGAGAAGGGCAACCAAACTGATAAGAGGCATGGAGGAGCTCAGCTATGAGGAAAGATTAGAGGAACTGAATTTATTCTCTCTTGAGAGAGGAGATTAAGGGGGGGATATGATCAACATGTATAAATACATCAGTGCTTCATATAGTGAACTCGGTGTACAGCTATTCACCCTGAGGTCATCACAGAGGACAAGGGGGCACTCTTTACGTCTGGAGGAAACTAAATTTAATCTCCAAAACACGGAAAGGTTTCTTCACAGTGAGAGCTGTGAAAATGTGGAATAGACTCCCTCAAGAGATGGTTCTGGCCAGCTCAGTGGATTTCTTTAAAAAAAATGCCTTGATTATTTTTTGGATACACAGAATATAACTGGATACTAACATTTATAGGTAAAGTTGATCCAGGGAATATCCGATTGCCTCTTAGGGGATCAGGAAGGAATATTTTTCCCTGCAGGAGCAAATTGGATCATGGTTTGCTGGGTTTTTTTTGCCTTCCTCTGGATCAACTGTGGGTATAGAATTAACTTTTTTTTTTTTTTTTTGTAAATGGTTGAACTGGATAGGTTTTTGTCTTTTTTCAGCCAGACTAATTATGTAACTATAGAACTCCTTTAAACTGATATTAACCCTCAATTTGTAAGCACTTTCAGCAACTTCTTCGCCTTTTAACATCTTTTAAATGGTAAATGTTTATTTTCTTAGGCTCAATGTTAAACTAAACATATCTGAGGGTTTAATAAAAAGGATTTATAATAAACAAAATTACAATAACATGTTAAAGTTTGCATTTGATTTTAGTGATTGGGTTTGTATACCTTCTCTTGTTCCCTGTTATTCCTTTCATTTGTTTTTGACTATAGACACAGTATGCGCTTCCAGATTACATTCACTGTTCCTTCCCTGCCTCCTACTCTGCTTCTTCACATATGCTAAAACACAGGACAGCATGTTATTGCATATACATGTTTGGTGGTAGCTGGGACCAAACAAGAATCAGCAGGTAGTCAGTAATTGCTGTGATTTAATTTAGCAATGGATTAGTTCCAATACTGACACAGTAAAATGAGGACTTTAATCTTACAAAAGAAAACACACAGCAGGATATTGTTTTAACATAAGAGGCTGCTGTGTGAGTGAAGACTCACTTAAGAGTAGGCCGGTCAGGCTGAGCATCAGGAGTGCACTATTTTTTTTTTAGTGGTCACTGAGCGCAATTTTCCCCATGTGCTTTGCTTTGAAATTGATTAAAGCGGTTGTAAACATCAGACATGAAATATGAACAGAGGATGTCCCTCAATAGTGTAATCTCAATGAAAGTGGAGTTCCACTCACGCTGTCAAAAAAATAAAAGTCAGCCCGCTACAAAAACTGTAGAGGCTGAGTTTTAAAAAACAGCAACTTACCTGTCCCTCGGTCCCGTGGTGTGTCCCCCGCAGCCCGTTTCACCGGCTATCCTGTATTCCAGGAAGCCGGCATCTTCAGTGTGGGCACCCATCTGTGATAGCTTCCGGCTTCACAGCCGGGTACCCACTGCGCATGCGCGAGTAGCGCTGTGCTTCATGAATGGTCCTGTAGTCTTCTGGGACCTGCCACGCATCCCAAAAAAAGACTGCAGGGAAGGAGGCAGGACACCTTCCATTTCCGATCACCTAGGCGATCGGACCGGAAGTGGGAGCGGGTACCTGTCAAAATTAGGTACCCGCTCCCCCCCCCCGCCCCCAAAGGTGCCAATCCTTAATGGGGAGCGGGGGAGCAGTCCTTAAAGTGGAACTTCCCCTTTTGGGTGGAACACCGCTTTAAGAGGACTAAGTGTCATTTTTGTCTGCTGCCTTGTTTCTCTGCTATCAGCATGTATCACTTCAGACATAATTTCCTGACACCAAGAGAAAAATGGTGACAAGGGAGAGACCTCCAGCAGATTGACAATCTCAGCTCTGTTCCTGTGAGCTGTGTAGATGGGGATGTGTCTTTTCCCTCCAGTCAGCTATCAGAACTCTCCTCACTGAGCTCTGCAGAATAACTTCAATTCTCTGCCCCCTTTTTTTCTGAACTCTCAGACAAGCTTTAAAATTTAGTACTTTGAATGGATGTAGAGAAGAGAAGACTACAGATAGACAGGTACTATTTATGTAAGAGGAATGGTTTCATCTCTGTATCACCCAAGGCCAGTCACTTCACTGGGTGTATGTAAGTGTTTACAACCACTTTAAGACTGCTTACATCATCCATTGTAGTGGCATGTGCCTGTGCTCTTCCCCTCCATACAGATTTGAGGAAGCATCAGATGCAACTGTTGCAAAAAACCACTTGAAGCTTCAATTTGATCTGATCCTGTTGTCTGTCTACAGTAACCTTGGTCACCTCCGGCCATCCAACCTTCTGGTCCCAAACCCTCAACTGTGCCAGCTGTCCAGGTTTTGTGACTACTGTAGGCCATTGCTCTTGACCTGAGCCTGTGTGTCACCTATTGCCTATGTGCTAGCAACACGTCTGAGGAATGAAATGGGACAGTTCTGCTGTAATGGGTGCCCCCAGTCCACTTTCTACCATCAGGTTGAATGACAGAAAAAAAAAACCCTTACAGATCCCCACAAGCGATGTGGATGCAGGGATCTCTCCCCCCGTCAGAATACATTGGCTGCAGCGTCTAATCAAATGCTGGTTTTTGAGCAGGACCATTTGACAGAAGCCAGTCTAACAACCTGCTTCTGTTGAACAGACAGGTACACACGGATCAAAGTCCAGCCAGTCCTGCTGAACTGGATGAATTTCGATCCATGTATAACCAGCTTTAGGGATCCACATCTAAGAAGTAAAGTAAAGTAAAGTGAAACTATTCTCACCTAAAATCCAGTGATGCACCATCCCGGAACTCATCTCCGGCTGATGACATCTTTAGGCAGCAAGTTTTTGAGTCTTGATTGCCTTCCACTATTATTGGCCTGGTGGAGATTACTTCTTTCCAGCACAAGCGCAAGAGTTCCACTGCAGAATTTGTGCAGTGAGCTACACTCGGGTAGCTCACTGTACAGGGGCAGACAGGCAGGTAAGTAGCTATAATGCAGAAATGACAAAGCATGTCTCTTCTGCTTCCTGCCTGTCCACCCATTTTTTAATATGAAGCCTAAAGTTCCATTTTAATAAAACAATCTTATCAATGTATGCTCATGTACAGATTCTAATTATCTGTGTACATAGGGTTACTGCTCTGCAATAGTGATTGGTAACCAAAGATCAGGTGACCTGGACTGCCTAAAACAGGCAGCTTGTGAACAACAGATTTTGTTGATGGCAAAAAAGAAAGGTCCACGTTTAATGACAGGTCCACTTTTAGCTGTCTGGCAAGTGGTCATGCTGTACAGAAGACCCAATGGGAATGTTTGTTGATGCTATAATTATTAAAATTAAACAATTAGCTGAAGCATCCACATAGCAAGGATGAAACTGATGGAAGCCATTACCCCCTGCATGATAAGGAAGAATTTCTTGGGAAGTCAATATCTGTTTGAAAAGATTTTTCTTTTTTTTTTCTTCCCCCCCCCTCTTTAAAATTCCAATGCAGTTCTGTAAATATTTGTAAGACATATGAGATTTGGTCTTTTGATCTAGGAATAAATAATGTACGGCGTCTTAGTTTGCTTGTAAGTGGTAGATATTCCAGCACACCTGTTTTCCTGACCTGCCTCTACTGAACTGTTTTCCAGACACGACAGCCCCCATCTGTGCCAGGGACATCACTGATCTGCTGATGAAAGAACTTGCTTTTCTATCAGGTAAGCAGAGTGTCACTCCCCATCCTCCTGTGTTATCTTGTAATTAAATCCTCACCATGAACTTGCACGCTGCTTGGCAAAGTGATACCCTCAGTATTATCCTCTAGTCTCTAATACCATCAGAAGTGTGGTTAATAAAACATTACAAGTATTTAGAAGCATATAAGGTTTCTCTGGAGAACAATGTCAAATATAATTATTAAAAATACATAATGTGCTTCTTTCATAAAGGCACACAATTATATGAAAGATAAGAAGTGTAGCAACAACCTGCAGTAGTCAAGTTTGTTTCACTATATAGTTGTGACAGTGCTTCACCATGTCACAGTCAGTGATGACATTAGGTGTGTTCGGACTAGGATCCGAATCCCTGTGTGTGGGCCCGCTAGGAAGCTGTCACCTGTACCAGCCAATCATCTGCAGTCAGGGCATTCCCTACCTTGCGGCGCCATGTATACAAACCCCTTGTATATGTGCGGCTTGAGTGCAGTGGATGCCATGGCTGCAGATGAGTGGTTGTCAGCATCCCCAGCAGCCCTCTAGATATAACATATGTAGAATTACAGAATGCCAAGCTAGAATACACTTCAGTCTCCAGGCCTGAAGTTGGAGAAGACGTCATCAACCCTGTGTAAACTGACACTATTCTGCATGAACTTACACAGGGTTTGACTTTCAGCCCCGACAGAATACCAGGCTGGGGAGAATGGCGAAGGGGAGTTTAAGTGGTATTGGGGGGGGGGGGGGGGGGGGGGGGGGGGTGTCAGGGGGGAAATGAGCTTTTACAAAACCCCATACCATTGCCCTCAATGGACAAGGTGACTCTGGGAGAGATTTACTAAAACTGGTGCAGTCAGAATCTGGTGCAGCTGGGCATGGTATCCAATCAGCTTGTTCTATTAAAGTGGTTGTACGGACAGGTGGTTTTTTTTTAACCTTCAGACATGCTATGCATGAAAACACCTTCTGAGTGCAAATTCCCCTCCTCCCCTGATTATACTCAGTTGAGTTGGATCTCGATCCGGCACTGTGTACAAAAGCAGTGGCACTCCCAGTTCTCTCACTCCTCATTGGCTGAGACACATCTATTGGCTCCTGCTGCTGTCAATCACAGGCATTGAGGAGGGGGCTGGGGTCAGAGCCAAGCTCTGAGTCTTACGGACACACAGAGGTGACTTGGGAGCGAGCACGCACGAGTGCCCACAGAACAAGCAGCTTGCTCTGGGGGCACTTTGCAGGCAGGGGGTTAGGGAGTTGGAACCAGAGAGGAGGATCAAGGCTGGTCTGTGCAAAATCATTGCACAGAGCAGGCAAGTATAACATGTTTATTATTTTAAAATTAATTAAAAATGTACCTTTAAGGTCACCTTAAGCTTTGACAATAAAACCTGGAATCTAGTTGGTTTCTATACAGAGCTGCACCAGATTTTGCACTCTCCAGTTTTAGTAAACCTACCTCAATGTCTCTTTAAGGGCCCAGGCACACTAGGCAGCTGAAAAAATGCCAGAACCTCTGGCAGAAAATGCAGTATAAAAATGCTCAAGGTGGCTGATATTGCACAAGTTTCAGAAGTTTGGGGTATTTTTTTTTTCCCCCAAAACATTCCCTTCTGCTCATTAAGTGTTCTTGCATGGCAAGACCACTTACTGTTATCTCACATATATATTCTTATTATTATAGCCAAATTTACCACCCTAACTCCTCCCACAGTTTTTACACTACATAGACAGTAATATACCGAAACGTGTGGATTGTTCCCGATTGGTGTGCTATTACTTTGTGAAACGTTTTACCAAATGGTTCTCACAATATCGCCGTTTTTGTGGTGAAATTGGTCCCATAGGAATGTATGGCGGAATGTTCAAAACTAGAGTGTGAGCTGAAAACTCAGGACATGATTTCTAAACTGCCATCACTCCCTCATGTTCAAGCCCACCTACACAAATCTTATATCAAAACGTTCAGCTATCCCTGCTGCCACTAAAAATATCCACGGCTAAGCCATAGTCCTGATAGTTTTTCACAATATGACTATTTGTTTGCAACTCACGCCACCCATTGACATTCATTGAAACTCCACTCTAGCCACCTCAAATTTGAAGGGCAATTTCTAAACTGCGACTTTGCCTTCATTTTTAATATTTCAGAGACATACTATGCATCAAAATGTAGGTGACTCTTACAATGTAAAGTTCTTCGGTGTAGGATTTATAATTTTTAAACTACAATTGTTTGAAGATGGCAACTGCCAATGAAGTGAGCAAGTTGGAGCAGTTTGTTTTTAACCGCTCTTCTCTGCCCTTGCTGTAGAGTGAGTTGCCATAGGAACCCAGGTGTGAGCAGGCAGCAGAGTGACAAAAGCTAGTTACTCAAGCCACTCCACCCAGTTACTCCACCCACTCCAGTTGTAGACTGCTGGTGGAAGCAAGAACACTTCACACAATTTCCCCAGAAATTGCAGCTTTTCTAGTTTTATATTATAATCAATGTACACTTGAAAACTCTTAATGCTCCTAAACCCCTCATTTATGCGCATCAGGCAATTTTTGTGTTCAAAAGCTCCTCTCAAAAATGGGATTCGATGTTTTTTTCTGCCTGGAACAGCTTCTCTGCAAATATGCCTGTAAACTCTCTCATGTGCATGGACAAATTGACCAACATAGGGAGGGAAGGGAAGGAAGGAAGGAAGGGAAAAAAAAAAAAAAAAAAACCGCCAAAAGCCTATATAGGCAAAACTCAACTTTAGCCAAAACGGTTTTCCAAAAACGTACAGTACAGAATGCGGACTTGTTTAATTCCTGGCCATGGATTATATTCTGCCACCTTCAGATAAGGACACTGGCAAACAAAGTTCTTAGCACAACCCATTATAATTAGAGATGAGCGAAGTATTCAAAAATTCGATTCGGCTGATTCGGCGAATTCGCGGAACAAATTCGATTCGAGTCGAATATATTCTCTGCGAATTTAACTTATAAAAAGGGTGTTTCTAGTCTTCAGAGAGCCTTTATATTAGTGCAGAACACTGTCCTTTAATTTAAATGCCCTTGGAGTCTGCTGGGGAAGAGAAATAACTGTCAGTCAGTATGACATGCAGATGAGTGCCGTCGATCTTAGAATCACCGCACACTTCACTCATTTGGGCAGTCACGGGGCCAAAACCAGAGTGTGGAGCCACAGTGTGGCGGTGGAGGCAGCAGCAATGGGAGGCCATACAGCACCCTATGACAAAATGGAACCCACCAGCAGTGTGAGGAGACCTGAAAGTGGCACATGGCAGAATGTGGCGATGGAGACAGCAGCAATGGGAGGCCGTACAGGGACCCATGAGACACTCTGGACCTGGCAGCAGCATGAGGAGGCGGTACGGGGGCCCATGGCAGATTACGGGCCTGGCAGCAGCAATGGGAGGCCCGTAATCTGCCAGCACCCTATGACAATATGGAACCCACCAGCAGTGTGAGGAGACCTGAAAGTGGCACATGGCAGAGTGTGGCGATGGAGACAGCAGCAGTGGGAGGGCCGTACAGGGACCCATGAGACACTCTGGACCTGGCAGCAGCATGAGGAGGCGGTACAGGGGCCCATGACAGATTACGGGCCTGGCAGCAGCATGAGGAGTCGGTACGGGGGCCCATGGCAGATTACGGGCCTGGCAGATGACGACGAGGCTGCCAAGTGCGATCAGCCTCATCATCATCAATTAGGGTCTGCGCCTCACTACTAGCCCCCTCGGCTGCGTGTGGGTCAGGAGACAGACCTGTTTCTAGACCAGCTACCGAGCCACTCTCCTCGCCAGTACTCCCCGTTCCTGACCGCCCTCTGTTAGCTCTTCCTCACTGTACAGTGGGGCTGAGCCCACAGCATGCGATACTTCGCTTGGTGAGGGAACACCAAAGGACAGGGGCAGGTAGAGGACACGTGATTTCAGTGGGCTTGCTCCCGGGCCATGCCAACTAACGGTTGTGTCTGACGTACCCACCGACCGTTGGCTGTAGGTGTCAGAGGTGACCTGGGAAGAGGAAGACGACCGAGCCAACCAATCGATGACGGCAGGGTTGTCGGTGGAGACACGACCGCTGGATGACACCGGGAGCACTGGCCTCTGGCTGCTACTAGTGCTGCCTCGACCCCTTCCTCTGCTGCCACGTCTGCTTGCTCCTGAAACATTGCCTCCTCTGCCACTCCTCTGCGTGTTGTCTGACATACTCTTTAATTCAACGATTCTGTGTCTGTCTAACAATTCTGTGTCCTGAGTAACAATTCTGTGTCTGTCTAGTAACAATTCTGTGTCTGTCTGAGTAACAATTCTGTGTCTGTCTGAGTAACAATTCTGTGTCTGTCCCCTGAGTAACAATTCTGTGTCTGTCCCTCACTAACAATTCTGTGTCTGTCTGAGTAACAATTCTGTGTCTGTCTGAGTAACAATTCTGTGTCTGTCTGAGTAACAATTCTGTGTCTGTCTGAGTAACAATTCTGTGTCTGTCCCTCACTAACAATTCTGTGTCTGTCCCTCACTAACAATTCTGTGTCTGTCTGAGTAACAATTCTGTGTCTGTCCCTCACTAACAATTCTGTGTCTGTCCCTCACTAACAATTCTGTGTCTGTCCCTCACTAACAATTCTGTGTCTGTCCCTCACTAACAATTCTGTGTCTGTCCCTCACTAACAATTCTGTGTCTGTCCCTCACTAACAATTCTGTGTCTGTCCCTCACTAACAATTCTGTGTCTGTCCCTCACTAACAATTCTGTGTCTGTCCCTCACTAACAATTCTGTGTCTGTCCCTCACTAACAATTCTGTGTCTGTCCCTCACTAACAATTCTGTGTCTGTCCCTCACTAACAATTCTGTGTCTGTCCCTCACTAACAATTCTGTGTCTGTCCCTCACTAACAATTCTGTGTCTGTCCCTCACTAACAATTCTGTGTCTGTCCCTCACTAACAATTCTGTGTCTGTCCCTCACTAACAATTCTGTGTCTGTCCCTCACTAACAATT